GGGGGGGGGGGGCAGGATGCTTTAATTTTGCTGTTAATACATATATTGCACAATATCCATGAACAAAAGATGACTATTTAGAGGATTACGATGATCTATCTTATCCTATGTATAAACTTTGAATGTACATTATGTTTTTTAATGTTACCATATATATTATAAAATTGAGATTTGCGATTGCAGCTGTAATTTAATAAATTTAAGTATCACTATTATGTTGACAATTTTCGTACAACAGCTAGATCCTTTCGCAATCCTTCGCGCCGATCCTTCAATCGGATTTAATAAATCTGACGTAATGATTGTGAGTACATTACTCTCATATCTCTATATATACTCTTCGTTTGTTCCAGTCGATTATACTCCAAAACCATTAATCAAGATACTAAATAGTAAATATACATATATCAGTTTCGTCATCAAAAGCGTGCGCGTACTTATACGACGTACGTTATCATATGTGTACCGGGGTTGTAAATTAATCTCTCTCACGGTGGAATTATGACATACATATGACGGCATATTTGCAAGTCAGCAATACCAGATTGCGTTTGTTTCTCGTTTCTTACACCAGATGAAACAGTGGCCAGGGGTGACGGACGCAAAGGACGAGAACCACACTATATATATGTATCGCGTATCGCATTGTCCGTTCGGTATTCGTAGGAAAAGGGTCGATTCGTTGATTGATTTTCAAGAGACAAGGAGAAAGCGCAATGGAGAATCCCTTCGCCACTGGCATCACGTTTAACGAAGAAGCGCCGGAGAATTTGGATCGTTTCATGTTCGGATGGTTCGACTACACGCTCTTTAGTCTGCTGCTGCTCGTCAGCATTCTCATCGGCGTGTACTTTGGCTTCTTCAGCAAGCAAGACAGCACAACGGAATATTTCCTGGGCGGTAAACGGATGGGATACTTTCCTGTCGCGATGAGCATCATCGCTAGGTCAGTTCCTCCTCGCTTCCTTTTGATAAACAAGTGAATTAAAAGAACTTGACGCGCGTGGAACTTACGTGTTTATATAATATATATATATATATATATAATGCATATAGTATATATGTATGTGTATACCTGTTTAGTCACATCTCGGGTATCAGCTTGCTGGGCATCCCCACGGAAATTTTTCATCACGGAACTCAGTATGCCGCGTGCGTCTTCACTGCAATTCTCACGGCTGTGATCACCTCTTACATTTTTCTGCCGGTGTTCTACAAGTTGCAACTAAACAGTACTTTTGAATATCTCGAGGTGCGATTCACCAGGCCAGTCCGAATCCTTTCTTCAGTGCTATTTACCATCTCGCTCTTCACGTACTTGCCCATTGTTATCTACGTACCTGCCCTCGCCTTCGCGCAAGTCAGCAACTTGAGCGTTCACGCGATAACGCCGATTCTCTGTATCGTGTGCATCATTTATACGAGCATTGTAAGTGCAGCGCGTGAATGGTGATGAATCCAATAATCTTATATATTATATATGTCTCTGGATATACACGTCTCTGAAATTAATAACAAGAATCGTTTAGCTATATTTATAAATAATAAATCAATGTTGTGTGAGAATGCGACAGAAATGATTTAAGCTATTATATAAATGTCAAAATAGTTTTAGAGTGGAATGAAAGAAGATTTTATAATTTGAGTCATTTATCGTCGTTGATCAACAAAACTTGGGAATTTACACATACATATATTATATATACTGCAGGATGTTCGATAATAACCGCGAACAATATCTCTCGTGGCTGCAGATTAAACTGAGCGAATGAAATCGAGTTGAAAAAGTCTCTACAATTTTCATAATATTTAACGAGATATTATAATTTTTAATCATTATTTATCACATATGATAAGAAATATCGTAAAAACATTCTGCTCATTGGATATAACTATAAAAAAAGGAATTTCGAAAATTGCGTAATGACCGTACTTAGGAAAGAATTTTTTAATTCAGTTTAGTCCGCCTTCTATTGAGAGAGAGAGAGAGAGAGAGAGATATACATATATGAAGAAAATACTCATGAAAGCCTCACACAAATGCATATAATATATATACTATATATGTATACTGTATATGTGTACATATTACTGGCCTAGCTGTATGTGTAAAATGTAGAATTCGTCGTGCACACAGTAACATAAAGTCCTAAATTTTGAAAGTTTATATTTCGTTTGTCATACGCTTTTCGTACACGTAGGGCGGTCTGAAGGCAGTGGTATGGTCGGACACAATACAATTTTCCGTGACCGTCGGAGGACTCTTTGCGGTTCTTGTACTGGGGATAATGTCTGTTGGCAGCGTTGAGGAAGTGTGGAGGATTTCCGACAAAGGCGGTCGTCTTATTTTCTTTGAGTAAGAAAGATTTCCTCTTCATTTTATAATATTAATATAAATATTGTATTATAATTTTGTGTTAGTGTTACATTTTAAGAATGCTTTCTTTATTAGTATGGATCCGAGTCCGTTCGCGAGGAATACTTTTTGGGGTATGACCATAGGTATGACGACAATATGGCTCGCACATCTCGGTATTCATCCAGGTACAGTGCAGCGATTCCTGTCAGTGCCTAAAGAGATTGATGCCAAACGGTAATAAGCCTCTTTCAATCTATAATTTCTGCAAATTTTAAACTCGTCTTTAAGAATTATTTTACTCGTCTTTAAAGAATTATTAAAATGAATTTTAAAGCCAGAAAAGTCTTTGTTATTCTTTATAAATAACTTATTTAATCGTTTTTTATATATATATATAGCGGACTGGCAATTACAGCGGTAGGAATGATAATTGTCAAACTGATCTGCGTATTCACCGGATTAATCATGTTCGCGAAATATCATGATTGTGATCCTTTCCTGACCAAAGTATGTATAACGCATGATTTACAAATTGCGCGTTTCGATATATGCGTATTTAAATGTTCCAAAGACGATTAAGTGTTTGTTGATTTTTATTTTATTTTTTTTACGTTACGTTTTATTGTTATACGCGCGTAAATGATATAGTGTACGTATCCTACATATTTAGATCGCAGAAAGTTATTAATTTTTTCGTTCAAACAGTCGATAAGTCGCACCGACCAGACTTTACCGTACTATGTAATGGACGTTGCTGGGCATCTACCAGGACTTCCGGGATTATTCCTATCTGGTCTAGTGAGCGCCGCGCTCGCGACTATGAGCGCCAGTTTGAACACCGTGTCCGGTACCATTTATGAAGATTTTATAAAACCGTGGATCCCGGATAGTCCCAAAAAAGAAGCTACGGCTGCCAACATCATGAAGGTGCATGTTAACATAACTTTTATTGTCCTCTTAAGAGGGGAATCTTTTTAAAAGAGGTGTGTGAGTGCAGTGTACCTATGTAACGAACGTTTCTCAGGGCATCGTTGGAATAGCCGGTACAATCTCAGTTGGTCTGGTGTTTCTAGTTGAACGGCTAGGACCAGTTTTCCAAATAGCTGTAAGTACGCGTGGCATCACCGACGGACCTTCGTTGGGCCTATTCGTGTTAGGAATGCTAATACCATGGGCGAACGCGAAAGGTGCGTTGCTCGGCGGCTGTGTTGGTTTGGTCAGCATGCTTTGGCTGGTAGGAGGCACTCAATGGCACACCATGCATGACAGAATTAAATATGATTCGTTACCCACGTCAGTGGATGGTTGTCCGTATCCGTTAAATCAGACTTTTTTAACAACGATAAGACCTACTTGGATGAACTCTGGCGAGGAACCTATGATACTCTTTCAAATATCCTTCATATATTACATCTTGATAGGAGCGGCAATCGTTGTCGTGGTCGGCACTATCGCGAGTTACGTCTTCGGTATAGATCTCGAGGTTGTAGATCCCGATCATATTACGCCGATAATGAAAAGGTATACGATATATATTTCCTATTACTGATATTATTTGATTTCTTGAGTAATGAATTAAAAAAAGATCAAGTTTGACAAATTCGATATGTATATGTACAAAATAAATATACAATTTTTGAAAGATCGGAAAAATAAAATATGCACTGAGATATTAATGAGTACTCCATCGATATAATTACATATTTCGTTTTTAACAATTGTATTTTTTTTGTCTATACTTTTTTCAGGGAAAAAAGAGTTATGTGATGTAATTTTCCAGGTTTCTTCCTTCTCGGAAATATACCGAAGTCTCATTGAGAGAAATACCACCATCACTCTCGAGTGACATTACGCTCGAGAAAACCAAGTGATTACAAAATCGCTGCAGTTTGTGCATTGCAGATTATATATATTTATATATCAGTGATAAGCAAGTTATAGCAGTACGATATCAATTTGAAAAATTTCTCGCACGATATCTTCATTCTAGGAAAGAATCTCCATCAGTTGCACATACATCACCAACCAAGTCATCTGACCGGTCCGATGGCCGTTAGCCACAATATACGACGACAAAGCAAATAAGGGATGGTAGCTTTTATTGATTAATAGACATTGGCATGCGCCAACTATCCTGCCATACATGCTAAATTGCGGTTGTTTTCGATTTCTCATTGTCAGTATCGTTCTTAACGTATGTTGTGAGGTATATCTCGAGGTGTTGCGACTGTGGTGTCTTCGCTCATATAAACTTTTAATCAGCGAAAGGAAACCGAAAGAGTATATAATAGACACTGCGAGAATATAAGTGCCTTTGTATCATAGATCCGGAACGAAATAATTATCATCACATTAAATTCTGCTCAACATTGGGAAAGAAAATAGAATTTAAGTTGCTTAACAATTAAATTTTTTCAATGTGTTATGACAATCCAATTAACAATTAAATAAAAGTTATCGCAAGAAGGGTTGAAATTAACGCTACACGCGATCCAGTGATCGAAATCGCATATACCCGTGGACGTTGAAGAGAATGTTACGTCCCTGAAAATGTTGATCGGGGTTGCTCGGGGATGGCCGCGTGTCCTCGCAGATAGGATATGGCCGCGCCTACACGTGGATATCGAGTATCGTTGCGACGAATACCGAGTATCTACAATCCGATTACGCAACAGTCAACAAGTGTCGCTATATACGTCTCGCGGTATCCTCACAGTGCAGATTTCTGACGGTCATTACAATCGGATGATATATTTCGTCGTGTAACATCGTTAATACCTTTGAGCTGTGATGGACCAGCAGGAACGTCGCGATGACACACGATCGACACATGAAAGATTACTACGTGACAAACTATAAGTGCTTCAACAAGAAAGTTTCATCGTATACGTATCTGCAGTTCCCAGGATCTATCCAAATATCCAGAGCCAAAAGAGATTATTTTATGACAGAGACGGGGTAATTCATGTATGGATTATATCTATAATTAACATTTACATACATATATACTAAATACTCTGAATAAGGAGCTGTCACAATTATCATAATTCAAATAGGATACCTCGATCTTAATCTTTTCGCACATCTTAGCCCATTGCGATACTTGACAGTCTTGGTACTCAAAATTAAATAATCTATTCTAAAACTATAAGTAATCACTGTGAATTTACATGCTGGATCACGGTTATATGTATATATATATACAGAATCTTATATAATATATTTCTACAATACAAAATATATGCATCAAACGTCTCGCATAATTTCACTGATATTTAAAGATTTATTTTCACTCATTTAGTCATGGTGCAAATATGATACAATATGGATAATTGTTCGAGGGAAATCGATGGAGCACGCAAGAGTTTGGATAGATTCGGCTGATGAAAGTTGTAAATCTATTTGGAAAAATTTGAGAAATCTCGGTTGTTGCTTGATTGATCAATCGTTGAGCAACAGTAAAACGGGTGGCATGCCAAAGTACTGCAGCCACGCCTCATCTTTAATAATAGATAAAAATCGTAAGCATTCGTGCCGGAAAAAGAACAGAAACCGAGAGCATTCCCACCGAGAAAAGATAGAGAGAGAGAGAGAGAGAGAGAGAGACACAAGCTTTCAGTTTAGCCAATGCTAACGATTCGAGAAGAATGCAAGTCAGACGTTCGGACAGTATTATCATCAATCGTCACTGCAATATTCGTGTCTTAGTTTATTTGATCGAATTTTGATTAACTGCACGATGTCACATTCAATCATGGAAAATAATAAAAAGACTGTTCGACAAGAATATCGAAACTCTAAATATCGATCTCTATCATCGGTGCATTAATGATCAAAAGCGATATGATCATAGCTCATCTCTCTCTCTCTCTCTCTCTCTCTCCATCATACGCGCATGAATGATTGCAAATCATTGTGAACGGAAACATATATATGTCTCTTGAAACATGTATCCATAAGTTTCCAATGATTTCCACTGGAAATGTGATCAAGTTGTTCTTCGAATTACATAGTTTCTTTTTTAACTGATTTGCGCAATGTCGAGTGCCAGATAAAGTATAGATATCATGTTATACATACTATAATGATTTTCTTTCCATTAACGAGGAGAACCTGCATTAGATTCACTTCGAATCAAAATTGTAAAGACATATGTGAATGTCGATACAATGAGAGAGGTATATTTATCCCTTGGAAATGACGTTGCCATTGATGCAGAGAAGCTTACTGGGATTGGGAACAGTGCTGACAATCGTTGGCCTAACGACTCTCCTGCTCAGCAAAAAGCTTGCACTGGAAACGCGCAAACGAGATGGCCTGCTCCTCGACATAATCGCTAATATTAGCGGCCACTTGGATCGACTTGACAGTGGATTCGATGACATCGCCGCGCAGACGGGAATTGCGCGGAATCGTTTGCTACAACTGATTGCGCTCCATCGAGAAAATCTCTTGATATGTGCGTTACTCGACGAGAAACGGAGACAAAGGCAAATGCTCGTCAGCGGAAAACCGGCGACGAAGACGAAAAAAAGGAGACGCCGATGGTTCATCGATCGTATAGCACCATCATCGATATAATCGATCCGAGAGCGGGTTTTTATCAGATGTAAGAAGATACGGAGAAGATATTAGATCGCAATGTGTGTATCTAACTTTAAATTATGTTATTTATAATTGACCTCTACTCAAAGATTGTAGGAATGATTTTTCTCTAATTACCGCATTTAACTTGTGCATTACTTTGTCAATTTTGCAAGTTTCATATTACATATATTTTTATTTTTTTCGATATCTCAAGAAATATAGCTACATGTATAAGTGAACGTTTCAATTTTGTTCGAGGCACGCGCTTGCACTATACACAATAAAATATATTCTTTCTTCGATTTAATTTAATTGCCAAGTTGCTAATTAATTTACTATCAACTTATATAATTAATTAATGATTAAAATAAATCCACTTACTCATCATATAGTAAGTATAAATACGACAATCAATTTCGTACTTGCAGGTAAGACAATCATCCGCGCGTTCACGTGAACGAATCGAATTTCTATTGTGAAGATACCCGTAACGTGATATGGAACATATCATATATTGTTTGATAATAGAGTATATTTTTAGTGAATGGATGATACGATCAATCCGCGATAAACCTGCAGATATATTCAAGATGCAGCGGGCCAATCCGCGATCACACAGGAACTTACTGCATTACTTACGTCTTTATCATGAGAAACGCAATGGCTGTTGTATTCGGATTCCAAAGTATACAGATTCGAAATATGTATACATATATATTTATATACTCCCCCCTATATGTGATCGAGTAATATCATCTGTCACGGAAACTATACATTGTTGTTACAAATGTAAACGATTATACATACTTTATACTATATATATATATACAATACATACAAAAAAAAAGTGAGGATCGTCAAGGATGAAATTGTCAAACTTGATCGAATTTAAACGGATCGCTTATTACGCGAAATGTATGTGACATATATGTACTATACAGTAAATATTTATCAATGAGTCTTTACTGTACGGAACTCTTTTGTTCTACTCTTACTAATATATTGTTCTATTTTACTATATGTATATTAGCGTGAGCTATCACAGAATATTATCTGTCAAATGAAAAATACATACGCCATACACGTATATCGCCATAAGTATTCGCATTATAGTTTATGCGGGGCCCGTGTATACAGTAGGATATATAGATTGTAGAATGAATGTATTCGCCGATTTCTCTGCGGAGAAAGTTTCTTTTGTGTACAATATATGCAGATCTTGTCGAAAAGAAAATCTCATCAGGATGAAATCCTCATTGTTTGAAATACTTGTCAAAAAGTAAGCATTTCAAGTTTTTAAAATATTTTTCATAAGTGGAGCGCTTTGTTGACATATTTATATATATCATGTATATTTATATATGTATATATTTATAGCGAATCGATACACTAGCGGTATGATATGCGCAAATATAATCTCTTGTATATATTTAAGCATTTATCAAACATAATATCGGATCAGCGTCACGATTCGACGCGTACTCGCTTCATCACTCTGTACATATTTTTACTTAAGCCAGAAACACATAAAAAACTTAAGGCCGTAATCAGTAAGGCAACATTGGATTCGCTACCGGCCTTACGGTCTCTACTGTGGTTGGCCAATTCGATTACGTTTTACGGCCTTACGTTTTTCTATGTGCCATGGGCTTTAATGTTTACGTGTGCATATATATATATATTATAAACACACACGTACGCGAGCAGAGAGATGGATATTCTCTCGTAGAGATTGTGTGATTGTATTCGTGATTATTTTTATAACTCTCTTTGAAAAAGATATATTAATAAATCGTTTATGTGTATCTCTCTTGTTCACTTTATATAAATTATATATCTCTCCCCCTCTCTGTTTGTCCCATGTAATCGCATAATTGTTGAGCGACCGGTTGTCAATTATGACCGCAGCACACACTTTTGCGTATGACGCATAATGCATATAAGAGAATCAACAAATCATATTTTCCTCCCACTTTACGAAAGAGAAGCATTTTGGTTGATTTATTCTCTTATGCGTCATGCAAAAATGTGTGCTGCGGCCATTCTAATATACTTATTGCGAAAATCTAGACTAAAGACCCTCAATCAGAGTCTCGCCATATAAGGCAAGTGGGCAAAATCCTACGAGAGAGAGAAGAATATATCATCCATCCTTTTTCTTCTTTAAACCTAACCTAATTTTTCTGGACGTGCTCAATGCTTACACGCCCAATAGCACGATTGTCGCTCACGTATAATAGCCATTCAGTAGTTTAAGAACATTATCATAAAGATTGGAAGACTTCAAATTTAAACCTGGAATATCAAATAAAATGTTCTTAAAGTATAAAATATATCCTCTTTTAAAGAAAACACAGATTTTAAATGTGAAATTGATATTCGACGAAATATTTATGTTGTACAAAAATGTTATATAATTAATCTTATATGAACAGAAAATATTTATTTCCAGATTTAGTATTTTCAGATTATTATAGAGTTGCGTTTCAAGACCGATGATTATTCTGCGCGCAATTTGGAGAGATTATACGACGTATATTAGTTAATAATTATTAATTTGTTTTAATTCGTGATAGTACCGCGGTAGTTTATATACAAGATTCAAGCTATAGACTGTTTTATAGACTTTCGTATTCGTATATTAGTTATGTTAACGGTCTTTAGTATTGAATATTGAAAATATTTAAATTTATGTTTTACATGTTTATTTTCCTTCACACATTTATATTTTATTTTATTAATGAGATAATTAATTTAACATTAAATGTAAGGAATTTCTTATATATATTATTTTAATGTTTTGCATATAAAGATCATAATATTTATTTCTACTAAAACAATTTTTATTTGTATTGCCGAAATATAACGCTATAATTGAAATATGAGCGGGAATTGCTCACTTTTGGAGAACCAATCAAAACTGCCTATATCTTATGGCGAGACTCTGATTGAAGGTCTCTAGATGCGCGAGCCTACAAGTTGGAAATCAACTAGTAAGTACGATGATATATATATAGTTGAGTATTATATATTTTGTAGATGTATACTTATATAACACACCGTGATACGTTAGGACCGTTATGTGTTATCTTTTTGGCTGTAATGATATTGTCTCTTATCACAGTCTGGCGGTGATAATGCTATTTCGAACCGTCCAAGTGTTGTAATATTGTTGATATTTATGTACATATATTCTTGTAGTTACGTGTCTTGTTGAGACGCGCTACGAGACAGTGAGAGATATAGTTTGCTTCAACTTTGATGATAATATTTTTTCTCGCTAGCTTGTGATTGCAGCATTCTCCGCAATCGACAAATATCCACAGTCAATTTGACACGACCCTCAAAGTAATATCGGCTTTCCATATTTATGCGATGTTAATAACAAATTTTCAGCAAATAAAATCATTCGAAGAGACAAAGTGCGAGTTTCTCCCAGTTGCACGGTTCCCCCTCTTGTTTTCTTGATTATAACTGCGTGTACTTGGACGATGGCTTCGTAATTCATTGCTAGTCCCAAGTACGAAAGTGCACTCTTCGGTTTCTCTCTCGAACGGTGTCATACGAGATGGCGGAAAAAAGAGGTAGGTAGAGATTGCATTCTGCAATTCAATTCAATCAATATGCAATTACTAATATATATAATACTATGTGGTCAGAATACGTACTAACAGTATTCATATATATATATATATATGGTCGACCCAATAGTAAATTTACTACCAATAGTAAAATATATAAAGAATTAGAGGAGTACTTTAAAACCTGCAAATTTTGTCGATTTTGAGAAACTAATATCTCGGCTTCCAGGAATCACTGAACATTGTTCTTTAACGTATTTTAAAAGGTAAAGCCTCCATGTTAAAATGGCTTAAGTGAAACTTTTCGTCTCATTTTTTTTTTTTTTTTTTTTTTTTTTTTTCGTGAAAACCAAAAGCAGAGAGTGCATTAAAAATGTCATGATATTGCAGCTTTCCTCGGGCAAAGCAACGACGAGACGAAAAATGTCACCACACATCGGTTTTAAAGAATATTCCCTTTAAAATGGCAAAAAATTGTCTAGCTTGCCTAGGAGCTGCTGAGTTATCAGGTTCCAAAAATCAGAGTTAGCACACATGGTGTGTGTGCATATACCATGATGTATGTACAAACTCCTCGTGGTATACATCGGATACGGCGATATTTAACCAAAATCTTGCGAAAAAATAGGATCTACTTTGGAACCTGATAACTCAGCAGCTCCTATAGGCAAGCTAAACCAATTTTCTTTATGCCATTTTAAAGGGAATATATTCTCGACTTCAAAACTGATGTGGGGTGACATTTTTTGTCTCGTCGTTGCTTTGCCCGTTGGAAAGCTGCAATATCGTGACAGTTTCAAGATTTTAACGCACTCTCTGCTTTTGGTTTTCACGAAAAAAAAAAAAAAAAA